GGGGGGAGGGCGGGGCTCGTCGGGGCCGGGGGGCGGGGCTCGTCGGGGCCGGGTACAGCGCACCCCCAAGACCGGCCCGTGCCGGCCCCTTTGCCAGGCTTGCAGCAATGATGACATCCCCCCCCCCGCTCTGCCGGCAGGGCACAAAAGAGGGGACAACGGGGGGAGAGCCGGCTGGCTGCCGGCGTTGATTGGTCAAGGCGGATAATAATATTGGTGCATTTTAAAATCGATCTTTGTTCCCTCGACCATCAAAGCCGGGCTACTTGGGGAATCCGAGCCTCACAAGGGGGCGGGTATAAGCCTATGAGTGAATATGCAGGTACGTGGTACGTGGGGGGGGGGGGGGGGGAGGGAGCTAGAGGCAGCGAGAGGGAAGGAATGAAGGACGCCTTTCCCCGCCGGCCCGGCGTCTCCCTTGCTAAGAGTCTACTTTCGTCGTCCAGAACCCGGGTGTGTGTGGCCCAGGCGCGGGGCCTGACCCGCGCTCTCGTCACACCCGCCGCGCTGTTCCGCCCTCCCAGCTTGGGCGTTGGGCCACGGACGTAGGCCGATACGTGCGGGCTCTTGCCGCCTGTTGGTCCCAAGAGGTTGGCCCGCTCCTCCCCTCTCAGGGGGCAGGGCGGAGCATGCGGGAGACATTCCCCCCTGGCCCCCCCGCGTCTGCAAGCCGCTCTTCCACGATGCCCGGGGTGGGCGGGCGGGGGGGGGGGGGGGGGGGGGGAAAAAGGGGCGGGGAAATTTTTTTTTTGGGGCTTCCCGGGGGGGGGGGGGGGGGGGGGGGGGGGGGGGGGGGGGGGGGGGGGGGGGGGGGGAAAAAATGGGTGGGGGGCGGGGGGCGGGGGGGAGCGGGGGGGTGGGGGGGGGGGGGGGGCGCCCCCCCCGGGCAGCCGCGGCGGGGGGGAGGTGGGGGGGGGGGTGGGGGGGGGGGGGGCTGGTCAGGAAACGAAAGGACGGGGGCAAACAGAGCCGAGAGAATGTCTCTTTCGTGACTTCCCGAGGGGCGGGGGGGAGGTGGGGCGAAAGACCGCCTAGTCCGCGAGACCCAGGGGACGGGCCCAGGAGCAGGGCCGGGAACGGAGCCGGAGACCATGCCGGTGCCAGGCTGGTCGCCAGTTGCCTCCACCCCCGCCCCTCCGGGCCCAGCCCTCTCTCTCTCTCTCTCTCTCTCTCTCCCCTGGTCGGCGCAAGCTCCCTGTGCTGGGTGTTTTGATGGCCCCCGGGGCGCGTGCCCGCGCCGCCTCGCTTGTGCTTGGAGCTGTTTCCCTGCGCCCCCCCCCCCGCCCCCGGGTTACGTGCAGGCTCGGGGCCAGCTCACTAAAAAGCTGGCCCCCTCCTCGGCACTCGCCCCCCGGTTGCCGACACCTCCTTTCTCACTACTGCTCCCCTGCGCGCACGTAGTACCCCCTCCTTCCCTCCTTCTCTTCGTCGCCTCTCGCGCTCGACCGAACCCCCCTCCCCCCCGTTACCATGGCCCCTCCCAGTAAGTGTCTCCCCCTGCTGCATCC